GAGCCCCCAAAACCCCCCCAAACCCCCTGATGTCCCCCAATTCCCCCAGCCATCCGCCCGGGCTCGCGCGCTGCCGAGGGCGTCAGTGACTCGGACATGGCCAAGCGGGCGCGGGTGAGTGGGGCCCGCGGGGCTCGGGGGGGTGTTTGGGGGTGCCCCCGGCCCCGCTGACCCCCCCGTGCCCCCCAGTTCGAGGAGCTGAAGCGGCGGCGGCTGCAGGACCCCAACGTGGCGGTGTCGCGCACGCGGCTGTGCCTGCACAACCTGCCCAAGGCGCTGCACTCGGCCGCGCTGCGCCAGCTGCTGCGCCGCCTGCTGCGCCCCGCGCCGCGCCTCACGGAGGTGGGTGCCCCCCGGGTGCCCCTGGGTACCCCTGGGTGCCCCTGGGTCACCCTGTGTCACCCTGCGTGCCCTGGGTGCTTCTGTGTCACCCTGGGTGCCTCTGTGTCCCCCTGTGTCACCCTGGGTGCCCTGGGTGCCTCTGTGTCACCCTGGGTGCCCCTGTGTCCCCCTGTATCACCCTGTGTCACTGTGGGTGCCCCGGGTGCCTTTATGTCCCCCTGTGTCACCCTGGGTGCCCTTGGATCTCTTTATGTCCCTTCTGTGCCCCCCCGGGTGTTCCTGTGTCCCTTTATGTCCCCCCGTGTCACCCTGGGTGCCTCTGTGCCACTCTGGGTGCCCCTGGGTCCCTTTATGTCCCTTCTGTGCCCCCCTGGGTCCCTCTGTGCCCTCCATATCCCTCTGTGTCCCCCTGGGTCCCTCTGTGCCCCCCTGGGTCCCTCTGTGTCCCCCCGTGTCCCTCTGTGTCCCCCCACATCCGTCGGGGTCCCTTCATGTCTGTTCATGTCCCCCCGTGTCCCTCTGTGTCCCTTTATGTCTTCCTGTGTGCTCCTGGGTCCCTTTATGTCCCTCTTTGGCCCTCCATGTCCCCCTTGTGTCCCTCTGTGTCCCTTCTTGTCCCCCCCATGTCCCCCCATGTCCCCCCATGCTCCGTGTCCTCTCTGGCAGTGGAGGCCATTTGGGGGGAATTTGGGGCTGCAGCGGAGTTGGGGTCCCCCCCAGGAGGGGTCTGGGGGGCAGGGGGTGGTGGGGGGTCCCGGCTGTGTCCCCTTGGGAATGTTGGGGTTCTCCAGGGTGTGTTGGGGGGTTTTGGGGTGACCCCTGCCCTCCCCAGTGCTGGGTGATGTGGGAGCTGTGGGGGGGTTTGGGGTGCCCTGGGTGGGTTTTGGGGTGACCCAGGGGTGGATTTGGGGTGACCCCCCTGCCCTCCCCAGTGCTGCATGATGCAGGAGGTGTGGGGGGTTTTGGGGTGCCCTGGGCGGGTTTGGGGTGCTCTGGGTGGGTTTTGGTGTACCCTGGGCGGGTTTTGGTGTGCTCAGGGATGTTTTGGGGTGACCCCTGCCCTCCCCAGTGCCGGGTCATGCGGGAGCTGTGGGGGGGTTTGGGGTGCCCTGGGTGTGGTTTGGGGTGCCCTGGGTGGGTTTGGGGTGCCCTGGGCCCGGGGCCGCCCCCCGGGACCCCCTGGGCCGGGTTCCGCACGCAGGGCCCGGGGGGCAGGGGGGCTCCCGGCGCCCCCCGCACCAGGGTGCTGGCCGTGCCCTCGCACCGCGGCCCCAAGATCAGGTGAGGGGCCCTGTGCCCCGCCTTCGTCCCCTTTTTTCCTCAGATTTCTCCCTTTTTCCCTTTTTTCCCCTTGTCCCCTTTCTCCGCCCTTCCCTTTTCCTCTCCTTCCCCCCTTTTCCTGCCTCCCATCCCCTCATTTCTGCCCTTTTCCTTCCCCTTTGTCCCCCCTTTTCTCTCTCATTTCCCTTTCCTTCTCCTTTCCCTCCCTTTTTCCTGCCCCTTTTCCCACCCCATTCCCCCCCTTTTCCCTCTCTTCTCTCCCCTTTCCCCCTCCCCATTTCCCTTCCCCTCCCTGGGGTCTCTGCCCCTCGGGGCACCCCGGGGTCTCCCCCCCAGCTCCCCCTTTTCCCAATTCCCCTTTTCCCCCCAGGAAACGGGACAAGGGCAAGGCTCAGCCGCCCCCCAAGCCCCCCAAAGCCCCCAAGGCCTCTCGGCGGCGGGAGAAGCTGCGGGTGCCCCCTCCCCAGGTAGGCATTTGGGGTTCCCCCCAGGGTGGGTTTGGGGTCACACCCTCGAATGGGGCACCCCGCTGCTCGGGTGCCCCCCGGCGCTGCCCCCCGGCTCGGGGGCTTCGGGGTCCCCCTGACCCCCTGTCCCCCAGAGCCAGCGGCGGCGCCGGGGGGGCCCCGGGGGGGCCGAGGCACGGTTCCAGGAGCTGGTGGAGAGGTACAAGAGGAAGATTTTGGGGAACAACACCCCCACGGCCCGGGGGGGCAAGTGGTTCGAGAGCTGAGGCTCCCCCAGCACCCCAAAACCCCCCTGGCACCCCAAAAACCGCCCTGGGAGTGCCGGGGGTCCCAAACCCTACAGGGGGGTTTTGGGGGGCTGCCCCCGTGCGCTCTGGGGGGGGGTTGGGGGGTGGGACCCAGCCCTGGGTCCCTCCTGGCTCCCCCCGGGATTTGGGGGTGCTCCCCCATGGCTCTGTGTCTTCCTGGCTTTTAATAAAAATGGGTTTTTTGAGGAAAATTTAATCTCTCAGTGCTGCCCCCCCTTGGGGACCCCAGAACATCTCTCCTGGGCGGGGGGCCCAGGGAGGGGTGGTGGAGACCCCCGGGGGGCACTGGGGGTCCCGTGAGTTTCGGGTCCCCTCCGTGTCCCCCCCAACCCCCGCGGGTCCCGGCTGAGTCCCGGTGGCCCCGAGCCTCGGGTGGCCCCGGGCGTGGGGGACGTGACCCGGGGGTGCCCCTGCCCCACGGCCACCCGGGCTGTCCCCTCCGTGGGGACACAGAGTGACACCGTCGGTGACACCGTGTGTGACACACCGTGTCCCTGTCCCCTTTGTCCCCTTGTTCCTCTCCTCATCTCCCCATCCCCTCTCCCCGTTACTGGGGGTCCCAGCCCCCCCGTGTCCCCAGCTCGGCTCAGGGTCACACCAGGCCGGGGGATGGCAAAGCCACCAGCGAGTCATCAGCTGCCACTGAGTCACCGGGGCCGTGTCCCCGCGTCACCCCTGCCCTGGGGGCCCGCAGATCCCAGGGCCCCACAGCCCCCTGTCCCCGGGTGCCCCCGTGTCCCGGGGGGTCCCTTGTCCCCAGGGGAGTCCCTTGTCCCCAGGTGCCCTGTGACACTGCAGATCTGTTTCTCAGGGGAGTCCCTTGTCCCCAGAGTCATCAGAGACACGACTGAGGCTGCTGGAAAAGGGGCTTTAAATTAAATAAATTAATAATAACTAATAAAATAATAATAGTAACAGTAAAGTTGTAGAAAAAGGCGCTGGAGCAGCCGGAGTCACGCCGGTGCCCGGGGCCACTCGTGGTGTCCCCGCTGAGCTCCTGTCCGGGGTCCTGGTGGGACCCGCTGAGGTCCTGGGGTGTCCCTGTGGGCCGGGGGCTCCTGGCGGTGTCTGGGGGGTCCCGGGGGTCCCTAACACGCGGGGACCCCCTCGAGGCGGGCGGCGACCCCGTCCAGGCAGCCGCGGAGCCGCGCCAGGGCCACTCCGGCCACCGTGTGCGGGGCCTCGGCCAGCGGGGCGGGGGGCGCCGGGTGTAGACCCCCAAATCTCCCCCAGACCCCATCCCTGGGGGTGCAGCCCCCCACCTCTCTCCCTGGAGATGCCCGATTTGGGATCAGAGCCCCCACACCCACCCAGCCCCAGGCACCCCTTCCTGGGGACCCCCCTCAATGGGAGACCCCCCCCCGGGGACCCCGGCCCACTTTGGGGACCAGGATCCCCCCAGTGAGGAGCAGCCCCCCAGTTCGGGGCACGTCCCCCCCGTGTGGGTGTCCCCCCAGCCCCTCCCGGGTGTCACGGGTGTCACAGCTCGGCCCCCCGTGTCCCCGGGGTCACCTGGAGCTGCTGCAGCCGCGTGCTCAGGGTCCGGGTCAGGGCCCGCGCGTCCGCCCGGACCCTCTCGAGCCGCACGGGGCGACCCCCGGCCACGGCCACCGCCAGGCACAGCAGCCCCCACAGCGACACGCCGCGACACCGCATCCCGCCGGCCTCTGGGGACGCGGGGACACGGCTGGCACCGCCCCCCGAAACCCACCCGAAACCCCCAGCCCGGGGATAGCACCGCGGACGGGACAGGGGACCCAGCAGGGACGTGCGGGAAGCGGCGCCGGTGGCACGCGGACTCCGGAGCCCTCGTCACCGCGTCCCGGTGCCACCGTGTCCCCGGCGGCACGTGCCGCTCGGGCCGTGTCCCTGACGCCTTCCCGGAGCCCTTTGGCATCTGTCACCGGGGCCACCGCGGCCCGGCCGTGACCACGCGGGGACGGGGACAGGGACAGGGACAGCGACAGGGACAGGGACAGCGACAGGGACAGGGACAGTGAGGGCAGGGGACGCTGCTCGGGGGGGGGAGGTTCAGGGTGAGCGTTGTGTCCCCAAGGTTGTGTCACCTCCCTGGCGACCCCCCGCGCTCGGTGGGTGCGGGATGGACACTGGGGTGACCTCGTCACCCACGGCTTGGGGAGGGGGGGACGTGGGGACACGGGTGACACAGGGACGGGGGGACACGCGGGTGGAGGGGACACGGGGATGCGGGAACACGGGGATGTGCTGGTGACACGGGGACAGGGGACACGGGGAAGCCGAGGGGACGTAGGGACAGTGCCACTCACCGGAGCCTCGCACGCACTCGCTGAGCCTGGAACGAGACGGTGCCGGGTGACGGGGGGACACGGGGACCCCGCCAGGACCCCCAGTGCCACCAGCCCACCGGCCTGGGCGGGGACGGCCCGTGGTCCCTTGGGTCACCCCCGGTGCCCCCGCGGGGCCGGGGGACACGGCTGGTGGCACTGCCACCACCTCGGGAACAGCAGGGGACGGGGGGGACAATGACAGGGACAAGGGGGTGCCCAGACCCCCCGGGAGCTCCGGTCCCAGCGAGGCCCGGGACAGCGAGCCCGCAGGTCCTCGGGGGGTGGGGGGGACACTGGGGTCCCCCCGGGGCTGCACCCGCTGGGACCCCCGGGGTGAGGGGACCGGGGGCACGTCCCAGGGTGGGGGTCCCAGGGAGGGGCTGGGGATGTCCCTGAGCGGGGTGTCCCTGGGGGGGGCTGGGGTGTCCCTCTGGGGGGTTGGGGTGTCCCTCCAGGGGTCGGGGTGTCCCTGGGAGTTTGG